ATTTTTACGAAATTTTTAAATGTTTTCTAATCCGCTATTATATATATATTTTGTAAGATTTTTTTAAAGATTTTTCACCTTTCTTAATTAATTTTGGCATCGGTATTAATTTCGCTTCATTTTCGTATTTTTCTTAATGAGCGATTCCAACTTCATGGTGTAGCCTATACGAGATTCGTCTTCCACCAACCATTACAACGCTACTATTTTATTTCATGTTGTTTGCTTTTGTTTTAATCGAAACAAAACATCCCTCTTGACACAATCTCTTCTCTCTCTCTCTCTCTCGCCAGAGTACACTGGCTCATTCGATATCACTCACATTCATTTGTATTTTTGTTAAATGAATAATTTGTTGCCTCATTTGTTGTTGTTGCTGCTGTTATTTTTGTTGTTGTTGTTTGGTTTTTGTGAAATTATCTTTGGAGGGAGGCTATTAACAACAATTGGCAGTTTTGCAATTTATTTGAGTTTTAATTGTGTTTTCGAGAGGTTCGGTAAGAGATGATCGATCGATGCAACGGCAGCATCAGCAGCAACGCAACAACAGCAATGAAAGAGTGCGACAATTTCTTTGTGATTTTTTTCAACTAAAAAAAAATATATATATATAATTTTCCCTTAAACAAAATTTATATCTTAAATTAAATCAAATTAAATTTTTGAAATTAGAAAAAAGTGCAATAATACAAATTTGTGATGTGAGAAAAATCAAGCAAATGATGTCATGTCAAAAATTTACGCATTTAAATAAAATGCAAAAAAGGAAACAGTGACACACACATCGTTTTGTTCAAATTCGATTTAATGTGAATAAGAGTTGTGAAGTGTTTGGAATTCAATTGAAAATAAATAAAAAAAAATATTGAAAATTAAAATTTTGATTATAAAAAATTATTGATTAAAAAAAAACAAAAGACTTAAGACACAAGTGTAACAAATGTAGAAAGTTTTTGCCTCAAAAACAAACGATTTTAAGAAACAAATATTGAATAAATTAGCCGGTTCGGATAAAAAATTAACAAAATCTAACAGCTCACCGGATTGAGGGCGAAATTACTCCTCCTATCAATGGATTTTTAAATATATTTTTCGGTTTTAGAAAGGCTTTCCAAGCTTTTGAAATATGTTAAGGCACCTTTAAGCGATAGTGAATTTTTTCAAGTTTCCATAGTCTGTTTATTCTTCTTTAAATAATGTTTTGAGCCCTCCAATTAATAGTATTTTTTTTTTTTCATCAATTTTCCAAATCTCTAGATTTTGCAGTTTTTGATAAATATTCCAAGCCTCATCTGCAGGTCGTGGATTTGTTAAAAAAAATTCTCTATGGTTCGCTAACCTTTTTTTTTTCTGGAGTTTTGAAATATTTTTTGCAAGCCTGAATAATCTATCATGGATTTTTACAAAGTTTTCAATTTATCTTATTTTAAAGGGTTTCCAAACCGTTTCTTTGGATTGCGTATTTCCGATTTTTTTATATTCTAAGCTTTATCTTTGGATCCGATAATTTTTTTTTTTATAGATTTCTAAAATTTCGTTAATTTCTCATGGGTTTTTCAAATTCCGTAAACGATCGTTGATATTTTTTCTTGTAATTTTGTGTCAATATCTTTATTCAACCGATGTCCGTCCGTCTGTGTAAATTACTCTAGCTTCCGAACGAATTAAAGTAGATTGATAAAATTTTACTCAAATGTATATTATGTCTGCAGGACTTTTGGTATTGAAAATGGGTCATGCAGATCCACGTTTTGGTATAGCCCCCATATAACGGTACCTCCCGATATTCGGTATTTTGATGAATTCGGCATTATTATTTACCGAAATTGTTTCAAATTTATTATTTGCATTTGAATATTGGAATGGCTTATGACAAAAGTTTTCTATGTAGGTCCATGTTGTCGTATAGACCCTAATATAACAGTTACATTCGGTATTTTTAAAATTTTAACAGATTTTTTAACGGATTTTTTTTGAGAATTGCCAAATTCGTTCCAAATGGTGGAGGGTATTCAAAGTTTTAGCTTTTTTACTTGTTTCTGTTTTTTTAAATTTTTCAAGGACTCATTAAGGGTCATGGATTTTTTAATAATATTTTCCGGAATTTGTGATTTTCATAATTTTTTTCAAATATTCTTTGCAAGCCTCATTAATCTATCTAATTTTTTTTAAGTTTTCAATTTCTCTCCACTCACTTCAGTTTTTCTACATATTTTTCCTCTGTTGATTATGTATTTTTACAGATTTCTTTAAGTCCTCAACCACCCTTTGAGAGTCTTGAATTTTTAATTTAAATTTTGATTTGAATAAAAGAAATCTGAAAACCCCTTTCAAGAATTGTGACTATTTTTTTATTTTTATTTTTTTTTTTTTTTAATTTTCCAAACCGATTTTGTTTGGATCATCAATTTTTTTATATTCCAAGCCTCATCTGTGGATCCAATATTTTTTAAAGATTTCTCTAAATTTCGTTAATTGATCATGTGTTTCTCAAATGTGTTTCAAGCTTCCATAAACGATCGTTGATATTTTTAAGATTTTCCGAGCATTCCTATTCCCCAATAAACGTTAAAGTTTTTCATATTTTTTTAATGGATTGCGGATCTTTGCAATATTTTTTCAAGCCTCATTAGATGGTCTTAATATTTTTTTTAAGATTTTCTAAGCCTCTTCTATTGATCGTGCATTTAAAAAAAAAAAATTCCAGGAGGTCTGGAGGCCTGCTCAATCGATCGGAGCCTTTTTATACCCTACACCACAAGGTCGTCAGGGTATTATGTCTTTGTGCATTTGTTTGTAACATGGAAAAGGATACGAGGGTCTATAGTTACTTGTGAGAATCACTTTCTGAGTCGATTTATGCATGGCAGTCCGTCTGTCCATGTATTTTTGTGAACAAAATGCACATCGCATATATTATCCGATTGAGATAAAATTTTCCAAACGATATTTATTTAACCCAGGCACTAACCTTATTGAAATTTGTAAGAATCGGTTCAAATTTAGATATAGCTCCCATATATATCTTCCACCGATTTAGGGTAAATTGTGCACCAAATGGCTAGTATGAGTCCAAATGACCTGAATTTTGGTACATCCCACCGAATTCAGTCTAGAAGCAAGAAAATCAAATTTGGTGAAAATCGGTTCAGATATAGTTTTAGCTCCCTTATATATGTTCCATCCGATTTGGCATCTAAGTCCCTTATGTTTCTTTTTATATCACCATTTTCGTAATATACGTTTTTATGACCAACCGTCGATACTTTTGACCCATATTTTCCGCCTTAACAGTTAATTGAGATTTTTTAAAGATTTTTTTAATTGATCTAGAATTCTGCGAGACTACAGGGTGAGATAAAAAAACTGCAACAAAATCAAACGCCATAATTTTGACATTTTTTTTTTTAATTTTATTCAATGAAAGCAAGAAATGTCGGAAATAGCATCAAATTTTAGAATAAGTTTCGATTCGTTCGAATTGGTCATCATTGGCACGAATTATGGCCTTCAAACGGCCAACGAAACCGTCACTCGCCACTGGAATGTTGCTGTGCGGTATTTGGGCCCATTCCCGGCGAAGCGCTTGCTTGAGTTGATCGACACTTTGGCATTTTTTAGTTTTTTGGCATTTTTAGTGCGTGCCCAAGGCTATAATGCACCCTCCAGGTTTTTTCGCGATAATAATACACCCTTCAGATTTTTTCGGGATAATAATACACCTTTCAGATTTTTTTCGCGATAATATTCGGCATTTATTCTGATGCCACGGTGATTAATACAAGCGGGAAGCGACCTGTCGGCTGTTATGGCGGCCCACACCATCACCATGGCCGGCGCTAGAATTCTGGTGTCCAACCGAAGGTGCATATTTTCAGCAAGTTTTGGCAAGTAAACACGATCATCATTCATTTTGTTTGTTTACAAACTGCTGGACAACGAATGTTTTCTCATCGGAGGCAGAGAAAATCAAATTCGGCAGTTCACCATTTTCGGCCAAGCGAAGCAACTCTCTAGCTCTTTTGAGTCTATTTTCTTTCTGTTGCGGTGTAAGTTCTTGCACTTTTTGGAATTTCAAGGGCTTTACTCCGAGCTTATATTTCAATATTTGCCAAATGGAATATTGCGATATTTTCAGCTCACGAGCCATTTTTCGGCAACTGCGACGCGGGTTTCTATTCGAAGTCGTTTCTGTATTTTCCGAACCATTTCGGATGATGTTACTTTCTTCTTCCGTCCACTTCCTTGACATATGTCGGGCTACGCTACCACGGTATCACAGTAACGAACGATGGTACGAGACGCAAAAGATTTATTCACAGTTAAATGCTGGAGTGCTCTAACGATAGCCACTTGTGCTTTTCTAGCCAAACATAAAGAAATAACACTATCACGCTTGAATTCCATCCCGAATAATTTTTTTTCTGGAAAATTCTCACCAAAATACTTTTGTACGCTTGTAAACAATTAAATGAGCTTTCACAGGAATAATTTTAATAGCTGTCGGACGAGTGGCTTAGAAATGACAGCAGTCTGAAGTTGGTTGCAGTTTTTTTCATCTCAACCTGTATGTCTCCCGAAATATCACCATTTTCGTAAATACATTTTTTTTTTGTTTAACCTTTCTCTGGAATTATCTTTGTGATCCATGGGCCTGGAATATTTTTTGTAGAACTTCTGTGGTTTTTTTAAACTAAAAGATATTGAATTTTGAGTATCGTCGTATATTTTTTAATTTTTTTCCATACCTTCCAAATCTCTTTATTTTCATACCTTTTTCCAAAAATATCACCATTTGCGTAAATACATTTTTAAAGTTGTTGTCCTTAAGATTCAATCCTAGTGTTGTTGTGTGAATATCGACCTTCCTTGAGAAAATCATTTCGGCAGAGTTCTAATCGAAAATTAGTTTGATTATATTTTTATATCCTCGAATTTTAAATATTTTTTCCTAAATTATCCCTCCATAATTCTTCATTTTTCTCTCACATCTTTTTCAGACTCTCTTCAAGACATTTGCGCCGACAACAAATACCCAGAGACAGTGACTACTCAGCGGCACCATCCTCCCTGCATAGATCCCGATCTATATCCACAGACGATTTAAGTACGGACTGGGACATTAACGGTGTGGACAACGAAGAACCGGCCGAGTGGAGGCGAGTCAGTAAATTGCGAAGATCATTTCAAAATTCCGGTAGCACAAAAATCGAAACCACAATTCCGCCACCAAGACGGCCGCTCGATTTGCCAGAAAGTTCGGTGAGCGTTTCAAAAATTCGAGCTGAATTGGAGAATGGTAGACGTTTGAATACGGTTATGAAAAATAATCACGTAGATTTGGCGGCACTAAGTTCCATATTGAATGGACCGGATAATAAGCCCGTGTCACCCTCACTTTCTTCGACGCGCAGTAGTTTTCTGACAGCTGAGTCTTTAAAGGAAATAAGAGGAAAACTGAAGAGACTATCGGACGAATCATTGTATAAGGAAGATTTTATTATTAGCCAGCAAACGAATGCGGAATTACCGGAACAGGAACACATCGAAGTCCAGCCATCGACAATAAGGAAAAGTGTGGAAAAATCTCCGGAGAGATATACAAGTAGAAGTACAGAGAGAAGAGAAGAGGAACCGGCTGGTAAGCATAACACCAACAGCCTGGAATCCCGACTGAAATTCAAGGAAACCAATCCCACAGAGTGGCATTTGAGGAGGAAATCATATGGTTTTGAGAAAATGTCACCACCTGACAAGACCTCCATGCAACGCATGGATGCCTCCACGGACAGTGGCCTGGGTCGCTCGGGAGAGTTGCAGAATTGGTCACCCACCACTCAGGATAGCAATCGTACGGTTGTGGTACGCTTGGGAGAAAATTCTGGTACTCCGAGATCCTCCATAACAGGCCTCACATCCTCCAGCTCGGTCCACAGGCGATTTAGGCAACAAAAATCCTATGATGAATCGGAAAATTCTCCCGAAGAGGAGATGGCGCCCAATAAACGCCATTCCATTGCTGTGGATGATCGGGATCAATATGTACGCGATAATGGTAGGCAAACTACCCAGGTCCGCCTCAACGGTTTCTATGAAAGGAACTCACCTTTGGGGGAAGGGAAGTTTGTGCAAACCTCCGAAATGTTGACCACCTCCAGTGGAGGATTTTCGCAAAAGGTACAACAAAAACGTGTGGAATTTTGCAAAACCGAGGTCCACTTTGCCACCGAATCGGGTAGGGTAAATATTGTGGAAACCGATAGTAAACCACCGCCAACGAATAATTTTAGAAGACGGCGTAGCCGTAGTTCCAGTGTGGGACCATTGCAGAGTTTGGTGAAATCGGCCACGACAGTTTCGACCACAAGCACGGCCAGCTCATCTTCGGTGGCCATGCCAGTTACCCTCTTCGGAGATGATAAATTGCGAAGAAAGACAATTGCCTCGACGACGGTGGCCTATAGGGCGCCATTGGTAGATTCTCCAGAACCAGACAAACAAATCGCCGCAACACCGGCCATTAAAAATGTAACCGTCACCACAGTGGCGGAATCCTATGGCAATTCGGAAAGTTCCCGCAGTAGCTATGCCTCTACCAGCGGGGTGGATACCACCGATTATGAAACCGATGAAATGACCTCTCTGCGAGGTATTTTAAAGAATAAGCCAGCCAAGCCGAAACCTTATGTTTTGGGGGAAAACATCGACAAACCCGATGAGCTGTGGGGTGTTCAGTCGATTAAGTCAATGAAAGGACCAGGTGAAACGAGAGGTAAGTTAAGACTCTAAGTTCTACAAAAAAAAATATTTAATTTTTACGAGTTTTGATTTCAGGTCCCAATGACTCACCCCTCACCATTCCGGCGCCACAAAATATGGCATCCATCAAATCTGTTGCCGAGCGTATCCAAGACCTGTCCCAGACCAATGGCTTCTCCACCAAAATCAATTTAAATGTGGGAAATGGATCCTCACCGGTCACGGTGCCCTCCGCCAAGAATTGGGAAGAAAATGGTAAGTTGCCAGATTGAAAAAAAATTCCCTACCAGAATATATCCAAAATTTACCCTGCCTGCCTATTCCCCACACCCAACACCCATTGAACTCCATATGCTTACCATGTATGTATATGTCGTCCGTCTGTATGTATGTATGTATGTATGTGTATAAAATGGTAGTATTTGACATTTGTGACACATTAGCCTGTAAGTTGTCTTGACTGTAAATGGTAGAACTATTGGCATACGATTCTAATTAGAATAATCTTCGGTTTATAATTTCTTCTACTTATGGGATGATCTACTTTTTTTGTTGTTGTTATTTTTATCATCATTTGTTGAATTGTTATTGTAATAATAATTATAAAATATTGAATTAATTTAAATATTTTTAATAATTAATTATTTATATTTTTTTTTTGTTAACCATATTTTCTGTGTGCGTTTAAGTTTTATATACTCTTATCGAATAACCCTTTGTTCGTTTTGGCATCACTAATTGGCTTCTAACGTTTGGTGGGCTGCATTTATGGCTTGGCGAAAGAGAGAAAAAAAAATTAAAAATAACAAAAATTAACATTTTTACAAAACTAATTTCGAAATAAATTAAATATTTAAGATGGGGTTTAATAGATGGCAGATCTTTTATAGGAAGCTGTCAGAGCTCTGGAGGAAAAATACATTTTAGTGGTCATTCTTTTGCAACTCTTCTGCTTTCCATAGTTAAAAGTCTCCAGGGTTCTTCAAATCTTCTTTAAATAATAGCCTTCCCAATGGCACTTCAGCTCGTCTATAAATTATTGATTTCCTAACCTTCGGCTCATCTATGGGCAATAGACTCCCAGGCCCTGCAATACAACCCCATGATCTTCAGCACGCATATGGGCCATAGACTCCCTGTCCTTTTGGGAAAACGTCAGAGCTCTAGAGTAAAAATATATTTCAGTGGTCATTCTTTAAAAACTTTTTAGCTTTCCATAGTTAAAAGACTCTCGGGTTCTTCAAATCGTCCTTAAATAATACCCTTCCTAATGGCACTTCAGCTCGTCTATAAGTTATTGATTTCTTAACCTTCTGCTCATTTATGGGCAATAGACTCCCTGGCGCTGCAATACAACCCCATGATCTTCAGCACGCATATGGGCCATAGACTCCCTGTCCCTTCAGTTCGTCTTCAAACCTATGGGCAATAGACTATCAGATGCTTCCGATCGTCTCTGGGAAATATATTTCCTATCCATTCATCACATATATAGGATGAAGATGTCAGAGCTTCAGAATACAGATATATCGCAATAATCATTCCTTTCAAACCCTTCTGCTTTCTATAGTTGATGGACTTCGTGATCCTTCAGTTCAGTTTATCTATAAATTGTTGACTTCCTAACTTTCATTTTGTTTATGGGCAACCGACTTCCTTCAATTCGTCTATGATACGTGTATTGGCCAGTTCGTCTTCAACTCTTGGGACAATAGACTCCCAGATCCTTCGGGTCGCATATGAGCAAAAATATACTCTTTGTCCGTTCATCTCGTCTATGGGCACTAGGCCTTGCAGCTCGTCTGTGAAGATACATTCTAGTCTAGTTTATGGGCAATAGACTCTCAGACCTTTCACCTCCTCTATGGCCAATAGTCTCGCTGGCCCTTCAACTTGTCTGTGGCAATAGAATCCAAGGACCTTAATCCCTTTTCTATTCAATTAACTGAAGGTCCCTCAGCTTGTCTATGGGCCATAGACTCTCTGGCCCTCTTCAGCTCGTCTATGGGCCATAGACTCTCTGGCCCTCTTCAGGGAGTCTATGGGCCATAGACTCCCTGGCCCTCTTCAGCTCGTCTATGGACCATAGACTCCCTGGCCCTCTTCAGCTCGTCTATGGACCATAGACTCCCTGGCCCTCTTCAGCTCGTCTATGGGCCATAGACTCCCTGGCCCACTTCAGCTCGTCTATGGGCCATAGACTCCCTGGCCCACTTCAGCTCGTCTATGGGCCATAGACTCCCTGGCCCACTTCAGCTCGTCTATGGGCCATAGACTCCCTGGCCCACTTCAGTTCGTCTATGGGCCATAGACTCCCTGGCCCACTTCAGCTCGTCTATGGGCCATAGACTCCCTGGCCCACTTCAGCTCGTCTATGGGCCATAGACTCCCTGGCCCACTTCAGCTCGTCTATGGCCCATACATACATTCTTTATTTTTCACTGAATATCACCATTTTCGTAAAATACGTCTTGAAATCGACTGAAGGTTACCTCTGTGAATTTTTGTGTTAGTTAAAGACTCGCTGGCCTTTCAGCTCGCCTGAAGGCAATAGAATACAAGGCTCTTCAGCATTTTTCTATTAAATTTACTCTCAGATTCTTCAGCTCATCTGTGGAAAATAGAATTCCAGACATTCAATTCGTCTATGGGCAATAAATTTCCAGAACCTTCATCTAGGCAACATATTCTCTGAACTACACTGATTCTCGACATCTCGTATGCGGACTATAGATATCCTGCCACTTCAGCTAAAAATAAAATTCTATTTTAGACTCATATTGACCTGATATAGGCCTTTTTTGACTCATACTACTTCAGGTTATCGGCCGCTAATATTCCTATATTCCTCCATCTTCACAATTTTATTTTCTACAGAAGAAGACCATTATAAGTGTATATATAGAAGCCCTTCTAGTGGACCAATATCGAACTTTCTTGAGGTTTCTTCATAGGCTTCCATCATTATTTTCCGCTGAAAATCACCATTTTCGTAAAGTTCGTCTTAAAATAGATTGAAGGTTATTTATAGAGGAACCTGTGCGAATTTTAGTGACTCGCAGACTTTCAGGTCGTCTGAGGGTAACATACATAATCCAAAGCCCTTAAACCTTTTTCTGTTAAATTTACTCCCAGGCCCTTCAGTTCTTTTCTATTAAATATGCTCCCAGGTCCTTCAGATCGTCTATGATAAATAGAATCCCTGGCTCTTCAGTTTTTCTATGGTCTACAGACTCTCTAGATCTCCTTCGGCTAAAAATAAAATTCCATTTTAGGCTTATTAATTGTATACCTAGAAAGACTTCTTCTGGCATTTGGTTGTCCATTATATTTTCTACAGAAGAAGAATATTGTAAGTAAATAGGAGCCCTTCCAGTGGTCTAAAATCTAACTTTCTTGACGTCTTAATAGGCTTCCAAGCAACTGAATATCACCATTTTCGTAAATACGTTTTCACATGGGTAGAGGGTTCTACATATGAAGGAACTTCTATGCATTTTCGTGTTAGTTAGTTTCTTAACCTGTTGGGAAATAAGGAGAGTGCCCTAATCCTCTTTATCGTGGACCTGGATGCGGAGAAAAAATTCGAGTCTCCTTTGGAACATTGTGTTGCAATTTTCCCTTTTAGATCTGTTATGTTGAGCCATGCGCTCATGTTGTTCCCTGAAGGAGATCTTTATGGATAGATGAAAACCTTAATGGAGCGAATACGAACATGAAACTTATTTAGGTTTTCCTTCCGATAGAAAATTTTTCTGATCCCTGTATATCACCATTTCCGTAAATATATTTTCCTGGGTGTCTTATCTTTCGTGGAGGAATTAGATAGGTTTAGAAATATTGAGCGTGGATCCTTCCTATGTCAAAGAATATATTTCTAAACTTCCCTTGAACTCCTCAGGTTACATTTTTGAGCTCCTGCAGTTACACAAATCATTTTCAGACATTTTGCCGGATCTTAGGAAATTTTCAAAATTTCCCCGAAAAATTATTAGAGCTTCTGCACAACATTTTCCTTGTGATTTTGTTGAAAATTTGAATCTGTCGTATTTTGTTATTACCATTCTCAAAAGATACAATTTTTACCCTCCTCTTTTACATTTTTCTTTTTTGGAATTTCCAAAAAATTTCTTTCAAATATAATTCGATTTATCACCATTTTCGTAAATACGTTTTATAACTTTCCAGCGGGTTTATCCACGAACCACGCCATCTTTTCCCAAGTCAAAAAGTGGGCCTAACTTTGAGAAACAAAATTTATGCACTCTTCGACTGTGAATTTTCCTCGAATGGATCTTTCCCAATGTAGTTTCTGTCCAATCAGATGGAAGGCCTTCCACAGGTCATATTTTGGCGCTCCTGCCTTTATATACTTAGTTTCCAGCCATTTTGCCATCCATATCTGAAATGAAAAAGAAAAATATTTTAAATATGTTTCTATCCTATCAATTGGAAGGCCATTCTCAGGTCACATTTTGGAGCTCCTGCAGTTATACGAATAGTTTTCATCCATTTTGCCATCCATATCTGAAACGGAAAAGAAGGAGAACATTTTTTTAATTTATTTAAAAGATGATTGTTGTTGGTCTTTTGATTTCCGAAGAATTCCATATTGGGCGCCATGATTTTTGGGAAGCATCTTTAAACCTATGAACCTTTCGTTTTAGCTCCGGAAAGTTTTATTCTTATGTTCCAACATGAATCGAAAAAAGAAAGAGAAATATTTTTTTTAATTTATTTAAAAGATGAGTGTTGTTGGTCTTTTGAATTCCGAAGAATTTCATATTGGGCGCCATAATTTTGGATAGCAACTTTAAACCTATGAACCCTTCTTTTTAGCTTAGGAAAGTTTTTTTTCTTATGTTCCAACATGAATCGAAAAAGAAAGAGAAATATTTTTTTTTAATTTAATTAAAAGATGAGTGTTGTTGGTCTTATGAATTCCGAAGAATTCCATATTGGGCGCCATGATTTTTGGGAAGCATCTTTAAACCTATGAACCTTTTGTTTTAGCTCCGGAAAGTTTTTTTTCTTATGTTCCAACATGAAGACTGATACTATTTATTTAATCTTTCTTCCTAATCGGTTCTAATTAAGCAGAACCCCGAAACATTACAAAATTTCAAAATTCCCTAAATATTTTTATAAAAATGTTTGCGTAATTCCGACATGTCGAGGCTAACTTATTTTTATGTATTTCTCTACAAGATCCCTGATTCCGTAGCTTTGTTATTCTCTCCAGTTTTGCTTTTTTTTCGCTTCTCCTCACCAAGCTCTTATATATCTTAGCACCAGCTTAATATGCTTCCAACACCGCTTTCAATTTTTGGGTTATAGATTTATCCCCTGAACTATGGTCTCTAGTAGTTTTAAAAGTAGTGGAACCTCTTCTTCTCTATTCCTGTATCAAGAAAATCTCATGGAAAAAATATTTCCTTGGGTAAATAATTCTCCCTTCTCCCTTTGAAGGATCCTCGAACTTTACACCTTTGTCCTCCCATAGTGCCTGCTTAGAGCCTTTCACAGCATCTTTTCCTAGCTAATATTTTATTGAATTTTAAATAAAACTAATTTCTAATTTCACTAATTCCAAAACTACACAATTCTCTTTTCTCTCTCTCCTCTCTTTTCTGCTCTTAACCTTCAAAAACGAACTTCTTGCAAAAAAAAAAAAACTTTGAAAGCTTTAAAAGCTATTAAATTACGTAGATCACTCTACTATTTTGCCAACTAAAAATCGAATGTAGAATCTCTAATCAATAATCGACAACAAAAACAACAGCACTAAAACAAAACAAACAACAACAAAATGACTAAAAAATCGCTAATGACTGTCAAAAGCAAAACGTCAATCCGAAAATAAAACGCACTAAGAATATACCACACAACTTTCTACCGCTACCCGAACAGGTCAACAGCCGAGGCCCCAGCGGCGTCTTAGTGCCCAAGAAATGCTGCTGCAAGATCTCAAAGATCATCAGCGGATATTGGATGAGGGTCTGAAATCGACCACTCTCATTATCAAAACTATGCGTTCTGCCACAGAATTTGATGAGGCAATGCGGCGTCTAAGTATTGCCTCCATAGAGGCCCAGGCTGCCACCCAGCCCAAGATAATGCTACGTTCGAATAGCTATCAGGAATCATCGTCAACGCAAGAGTTCCAAGATCCCTTGCAGAATACAGAGCCCAGTAATATGCATCTCTACAAATCGACAAGCTTCTCCTCGAACTCCTCTTGGTCCACCAACGACTCAAGGAAATTCTCCCTGGATTCGCGTAAAACTTCTACCGATTCGGGGGCCTCATTTGTGCGTCATGGTTCCGGTCCACGATTAAGTTTTTTGGGTAATGAACAAATCCCGGTTAGCCAGCAGCTGCAACGTTTACGTCTCATCTATGATGCTGCCACAATTTCACCCAGTCAAAATGGCGAGGAGGATGAGGAGGATAGTGCCGATGAAGAAGTCAAAAGCTATTTTCGTGGTCATGTCGACAGTGATAGTGGTGGCGGAACCCAGGAAAGCTCCTCATACGAGGATGATTTTGCTCTAGAACATTCACATAGCTGGAGTCGCCTAAAAGCCAAGAAAACCATATGGAAAATTGATACCGACAATTCGACAGAAGTGGCCAGTGGAAAAACATTGGAGAAAACAGGTAAATGAAATGAGTTCTGAATAGATTTAATGACTTCCTGTCGTTAAGAAAGCAGCTGACCTCAGAAATTCTGTAAAAGTAGATCATCTTATAAGCTCTCTCAAAATTTTAGCTGAATTTACATTTTAAGGCAAAACAAAACCCTCACCTAATACTCACAATCACTGGGCAGGCACAAGCATACCTCTCCTAACCTCAAATTTATTTACTGGAATTCCTAAAAGGTACTCCAAAATCTACACCAAAAGAAGAATACGAACATAACACCCCCTACAGAATTTTAAATTTTTTAAGTTATTCTAGGAATAAAGGAAGACCCACTTATGCCTATCTGGGTCGTCTCCAGGTGGCTGAGAAAAGTATGATTACCTGAAGTTGGGTAATCTGTCCTACCTTTAACAAAAATAATAAGATTAAATAATCTAAGAAGTGTTATCGTCTGTTTGTCCTACCACGAGCTTAAGAAGGAATCTGCATCTTCCAGATCTCTGAAATATTAGCCTCCTTTTTTGTCAGATGTAACTTGCAATCGAACTATTTGTTTCACTTTCCTCTCTGGGAAAGTCTTACCTTCTCTTCACTTATTCAACAGAGTGTCTTGGTATTTCAGAGAACCAAACCTCCGTTGAAAATTTGAATCGGACGTATTATTTATTACCATTTTCAAAAGATAGAACTTACTCTTTCCTCTTTTCAAGTTTTCTCTTTGAATTCCCAAAAATTTCTCTCAAGTATAATTAAATTTATCACCATTTTCGTAAATACATTTTCTTGGATGCCTTATCTTTTGAAGAGGTCTATACACATTGAGCATGAATCCTTCTTATGCCAAAGAATATATTTCTAAACTTTTCTTGGGCTTCTCAGGTCACATGTTGGGATTCCTTCCGTTATACAACTAGTTTTCATCCATTTTGCTGACATCTGAAATAAAAACGAGAAATATTTTTAATTTGTTTCAAAGATGGGCGTTGTTTGTCTATTGATTTGTGAACGATTGGGCGCCACGACAGACATTCCAAAATTCCTTTGAGAATTTGAATCTACTAATTTTTTTTCAAATTTTTAGAGAAAATCGATTAAACCCCTCGTCTTTGTTTGCTTTTTATTTGGAGCTCCCGAAATTTCCCAGGAGAATTGTTACAGGTTCTGCGCGACATTTCATCGCAATTTTCATAAAATACATTTTACATTATTCCGGCAGAATTACATACATAATCACATGTCTTTCTATGGGTAAATAATGTGGAGGTTTGAAAATCTGAACCTGCCATATATTTTATCACCATTTTCAAAAAATACAATTTATAAGCTCCTCTTTTCTGATTTTCTTCTCGAACTCTCAAAATTTACGCTAAGAATTGTTTAAAGGTCCTTTACCATATTTTATTGCAATTTTCGTTAAATAGGTTTTATAGCTGTGGAGAAATTACTTTCTCACAAGAAAAACAGCCTGTCCTGAGATTTTTTTCAAATATAAGGTCTAAAACACATTTGATATTTTCAAGAAATGAATCCTCAACATTTCCTTGTAAATTTTTGTTCTTTTATCACCATTTTCGCAAATACATTTTATATCCTTCGACACGAACTCCTATAAATATATTGTTGCATTTCTTTGTCGTTTTGTCGAGCTCTCAACACTTTCCTCAAGAATTGTTAAATACTCTGGACAACAGTAGGATAACCCAACATAGCTTCTATCCTTTCAAATAGAAGGCCTTTGAAATATATTGGCATCCTCTGCAAATAAGTCCCTAATATCCCCTTTCCGAAATTTTAAGCTTTTATCACCATTTTCGTAAATACATTTTTGAAATTCATCCACTGGAAGACCTGCAAAATATTTTGCTCTTTTCTACCATTCTTTTCGTGCTCTCAAAAGACCAAGTAAAGGTGTCTCTTTCATTCTATTTAGATTTATATTTCGTCACCATTTCGTAAATACATTTCAAACCCTCCTACTGGAACGAATCAAAAAGTTTATCTGTTTCTCTCAGTAATATATGCTTAGATGAACATTTTATTACCATTTTTGTAAAATACGTTTTATATTCTTACCTTGACCAACAAACTTCGAAGCTTTCATTTCTGAGGAAGACTTTCTGCGTTGTCATAAGTTATGCAGGTCATCTTCGCATTTGAAGAACAACAATTTTATAAAAGATCACATAATATCACCATTTTCGTAAATACGTTTTAAAATTTTCCCGAAAATTGCGTTCTTTCGCTGATTACCTTTTTATAACTGATGTTTCAACTATTTTTATTAAGAGGATCCAGGGTTTTACAGTCAGGTGTTCGAGAAGTTTCTAATCGGCAAAATTGAACTTTTTTCGTGGACCATTGCTTTAGGACTTGCTTGCGAGAACGTGGGATCAGAGCGTGGGTTTATTTTGGTCTGGAAGCAGATAAAACTCACTCAGTTGATTGTACCTCTAAATTCTCCCCTTTATATTGGCAACCTCTCAGCTGTCGCCACGATTTCATTCCTACTTCGGCTAAGTAGCTGTAATTCCAGTTTGATTTATGTTTGGTAATATACGTCATTGTATACCAAGATCTTGTCGAACTTACATCACCATTTTCGTAAATACATTTTCAAAATCCACCTACTGGAAGACCTACAGAATATGTTGATCTCAAGAATAATTAACCGCTTACCTTGAAGCACATTTTATCATCATTTTCGTAAAATACGTTTTATATATTTACAGCAGGATAACCAAAAAAATCCGAAGCTTTCATTTGTGAGGAACACTGTGGAAGACTTTCTACGTCGTCATAACTTAAGCAGGTCATCTTCGTAGTTGAAAAACATCAATTTTCCAAAGGCCACATAATATCACCATTTTCGTAAATACGTTTCAAAACTTTCACGGAAATTACGTTCTTTTACTGATTACTTTTCGATTACTGATATTTCATCTATTTTCAATTCAGAGGATCGATCGGGTGGTCGAGAAGTTTCTAATTGGCAATATTGAGCTTTTTTCGAGGGCCATTGCTTTTGGATTCTGGAAATACTTGCTTGCGAGAACGTGGGAGCAAAGCGTGGGTTTATTTTGGTCTGTATGCAGATTAAAATTACTCAGTTGATTGTAGCTCTAAATTCTCCCCTTTCTATTGGGAAACTCTCCTACTTCGGCTAAGTAGCTTTCATTCTATTTTGATTTATGTTTGCCAATATCCTTCATATCCCAAATCTTGTCGAGCTTTCATCACCATTTTCGTAAATTCATTTTTAAAATCCTCCTACTGAAAGACCTACGGAATTTGTTGCTCTCAAGAATAATTAACGGCTTGCCTTGGAGCACATTTCAACTATTTTCAATTCAGAGGACCCAGGATTTTATAGTCGAGTGATCGAGGAGTTTCTTTTTGGCAAAACGAAGGACTTGCTTGCAAAATAGTTAGAGAACATGCAGGTCTTTTTCTGGGCTTGATCCAGTTGAAAAATAACGCGGTTGTTTGTGTCCTTAATTCTCATCTTTGTATTGAAAATATATAGAAAACTTCCTCCGATTTCATCCGCGTTATTCGACGTTGTTTTTCTTATTTTTTATTTATTTTTGCTTTTTATCCCAAGAGCTCTTGTAGAGCTTTCATCACCATTTTAGTAAATATATTTTAAGTCCTCCCGATGGAAGACCTACAAAATATTTTCCTCTTTCTCTCAAGAATAATTAACCGCTTGCTTGGAGCACATTTTTATCGCCATTTTCTTAAGATACGTTTTATATTCTTCCAGCAGGATGACCAACAAAATCCGAAGCTTTCATTTGTGAGGAACATGTGGAAGACTTTCTACATCGTCATATGCTAAACAGTTTATCTTCGTATTGGAAGATCAATAATTTTCAAAAGACCACAAAATATCACCATTTTCGTAAATACGTCTCAAAACTTTCCTTATCCTCAAATCTTTATTACTACTGCTTCAGAGGATCCTCAGGTGATGGAGGAGTTTTTTGTCGGAAAAATATTTTTTTCGAGGATCATAGCTTTTGGCTTCTGAAAGGAATTGCTTGCGGAAAAGTGGAAGCAAAAAGGTTTGCTTTTGGATGTACATAAAAATTGCTCCACTGGTTTCTGCTCTAAATTTCTCCCATTGTATTGGCAACATCTAGACAGGTTCATCCGCATTTTTCGACTACGTACTTTACTTTCTTTCTCTTTATTTATTTATTTTTGCTACTGTCCGTCATTGTATCCACAGATCTTGTCGAGCTTTCATCAAAATTTTCCTAAAAAAACTTTAAATACTCGTAAAGGATAGCTTCCGGAATATTTTGCTCTTTCCCTTAAGCTTGCTTGGAGCACATTTTTATCGCCATTTTCGTAAAATACGTTTTATATTCTTCCAGCAGGATGACCAACAAAATCCGATGCTTTCATTTGTAAGGAACGCTGTGGACGACTTTCTAGATCGTCATACCTTAAGCAGGTCATCTTCGTAGTTGAAGAACAATAATTTTCCAAAGACCACATAAAATCACCATTTTCGAAAATACGTTTCAAAACTTGCCTTATACTCAAATTTTTATTACTACTGTTTTAATAATTTTCAAATCAGAAGATCCTCAGGCAACCGAAGAGTTTTTAGTCGGTAAAATATTATTTCTTTCAAGGATCATAGATTTTGGCTTTTGGGAGGACTCGCTTGCGGGAACGTGAGAGCAAAATGTGGATTTATTTTGGGCTGAATGAAGATAAAAATTACTCCTTTGGTTGTTTCTCTAAATTCTCCCCCTTTGTAGTGGCAATATCTAGACTGCTTCATCCGCATTATTCGACTGCGTATTTTACTTTCTTTTTATTTATTTTTTTTATTTTTCCCAATCTCCGTCACTGTATCCCAAGATCTTGTCGAGCTTTCATCACCATTTTCGTAAATACATTTTCATTACTCTTACAGGATAGCCTCCGAAATTTTTTGCTCTTTCTCTCAAGAATAATTAACAGCTTGCCATTTTATCACCATTTTCGTAAATACCTTTCAAAACTCTTCAGAAAAGTGCCTTCTTTCGCTGGATTACCTTTCTAGTACTGCTGTTTCAACCATTTTCAATTCAGAGCATCCAGAGTTTAACGCTCTTTTCAAGGCCCATAGCTTCTGGTGTCTGGGAGGACTTGAGAAAGTAGTAGAGAAGCCTAGGTTTTTTTTTTTTTTTTTTTTGGACTGGATGCTGATAATAATTAATCCGTTTTTTTGTTGCTTTGGATTCTCCCCGGCTTAGCTTTCATTTTAATTTATTTATTTATTTATTTTTTTTTTTTTTGATAGCCAATCTCCGTCATGCTATTCCAAGCTGTTCTGAGATCTTGCCAATCTTCAGATTCTCCAAATGTTACATCTTTGTCAGAATGAGAGTTAGACTCTCTTTTTTTCTCCTCGGAAAGTTAGTCTGAGGCAAAAGATCCTCAATTTGTCTTTAAATTTTTTCTCTTGTGCTGTGGCGCCCAAATGTCTTACCAATTTTTTTCTTTTCGGTTAGGCAACACTTTCCTCTTGAGTTTGCAATAATTTCCTAAATCGGAAGATGCCTAGTTTGAAATGGAATCTCCTCTAATTCGAATTGAATTTTCCCTTATCTGTCTGCCAAAAAAAAAATTACTTTTGCCCTAGTAGACCTCATAGGTCTGGTTAGGAAGTAAATATTTTGCAGGAAGATACTTGTATTTCTTTTGGCTGGATTGAAATATATATCTGCCATGAAGTACTAAGTTTCCTTCACTTCACGTTTTCCAGATGTCTGCCCAAAAATGGCATAAATTATATGGATGAGGACAGTACGAGGTTCATCGTAGGAAAGGCTAGTCGCTATTCCTGGGTATCTTTACTTCATAGCATTAAATTGTTGAGCATTAAATTTCGCAGACTTCTTTCTTTGAGTCTGGGGACGGACCCAAGGAGCTCAACTTTCCCCAAGGAATTTCAGAGCACTTTAATAATTTAAATGAAAGAAATACCCAGCTGGGTCTTCGGTATAGCCTCCTTTTAACTCAAGACCCAAATAATCGCCACTGAGGAACACCGTTTCCTTCTCTTTACGTTTGACAGATTACTGTCAAATAATGTTATAAATTGGATGGATGAGGACAGTACTATTTTCATCGACGAAAAAGGTTTGTCGCGATCGCTGGTTATCTACACTTCGTATTGTTGGGCATTTAAATTGGCAGACTTCTTTCTTGAGCCCCAAGGATCACAACTTTCCACAAGGAATTTCAGATCACTTTAACAATTTCAATGAAAGAAATACCCAGCTAGGTCTTCCGTTTTGCCTCAAGGCCCTAATAATCGTCTGAATATCTTTTTCACATCTCTAGATGTTTTGAATTGCCTCAGAGATTGGAAGAGCTAAGGGTGAAATTTTTTCCAAAAAAATATAAATTCTCATCCGACAAAAAAGATAAGTTCAGGGTAAATGTTCTTCAATTTCCCCCTCATCTTCGCATAAATTCACCACCATGCAAACGGGGCGGTTCGCCCAAACTTTCCTCATAACAACCTGTGTACAGTACCAGCAAATTCAAGAACCTCTAATAAATATGATTTTTTTTCCACCTCCTTACAGATCTACCCAACTCAAATGTGATGAGTATTAAATTACATTCACCACAGGCCACCACGGAAATCCCCACAGCTGTAAAACCCCTAGCACCAGTAGCAAAGCCAAGAACCGTCAGCAGTAATGGTGAGTAAATCAAAATTCCCCACCACCTTTTTCAACTTCTCACTTATTTCCTCTCGCTCTCTCTCTTCCCCTCTCCCTCTCTCCCTTTTTAGCTGAGACCAAACCCACCACAGCCACCACCACAACCCAACCACACAAACCCTATCAGACGAGTCTACCCACCAAAGACTCATTGAAAATCATCAAAGAAGCCCGTGGAGCCCGTCAGCTACGCGACCATGAACTTTCCTATTTCGGTATAGCCGCTTCGAAAGTAGAACAGGAGAAATTAAAAACGAAATATCCAATGATTTCCTCCAGTCGCAATTCTCCCAAGCGATCTCTGCCTCTGAGGAGGGTAAGTGAGGAGATGGCGGGAACAAATGGCAGGCATGATAAGGAGAATGGCAGATCCTCGCCACACAATAAATGGCAGCTGGATCACGATAAACCGGATTTGCTAAAACACAATCCACCCATGAGAGGAGAGGATGGCACCGCCATGCCCATAAAACCTGCCGAAAGGACTTCGCTGAAAAAGAAGGCCGCCTTGGATGAGGAAGAGGAACATCTCTATGAGAATATTGCCAATGATATAACACCAGTTTTCAAGGTTAAGGAGGTGTATGATCGGAAACTGGATCTACAACGGGATGCCATGATTTTGAGTGAAATGAATGAGAGTGCGGATCAAACTTTGAGAGTAAGTATCAGTTTAGGGACCAGATGAGAGATAAATAAAAAATTGGAATTTTCTTTTTCAGGAACTCTCCGATGAAGCTTCTCTAAAGGATCGCAAACGTCGCTCCCTGCCGAGACGTAATTCCAAACCACTCGAAACCATTGATGAGAAGGCCATGACGGAAAAAATCTCCGACACCTGTATAGCGGTCAAGGTGTCGCGCGGCACCTTTGCCTCTGAGGCCAAGAAAACCTCACGCCACAATACACCATCTCCGAATCGCCTGAATTCGGCACCCAGAGAACGCACCTCGTCCCAGTCATCGGTGGAATGTTGTCCCCGGGCCCGATCCCGTTCCCTGTCCAGTGAAAAAGAATATGAAAACCTTAAAACATCCAGCAAATCGTCGCGATCCACACAAATGGTGAAACATAAGTCGCACAAACCCCAGACGGAAAGGCGTTCCAGTTCTCTGGACTCACAACGCTCCTATCATTCGCAGTACTCCTCGGGAGAGGAACAGCAGCAGCAGCAACAGTTGCGCAACAGTTTCCGTCGTGAGGATCGTTCTCGGGCCAAAACCAAACGTCCCACCAACACATCCTCGTCCTCATCGAAATCCCAACGCTGCGAAGAGAAAACCTCCTCCAAACTGTCCTCTTCCGCACATCACAGTGAGTTTAAACGTTCATCCAGTACCACACGTTCTTCAACACACAGAGAGCGTGCTGAGTGCCACAAGGGTGATACAAATGGCCACACTGATTCCCAGCACAATAAACGTGAACGCGATCGCGATCGTGATCACCATCATTCGGGCACGTCATCGCTGCAACGTGGTTCAGCCATTAGCTCAAGTGGTCGCCGCCATCGTGACGAGCTACGTGACTCACAGCGTTTGAAACGTTCCACGGCAACTTCGGATAAATCCTCCGCAGCACGTCATGAAAAGGCGGAAGGTAGTGGCAAGCATTCCTCGTCACGTCTGGCGCGTGACGATGAGCGTAACAATTCAACGCGTTCCTCGTCACATCGTTTGGAACGCAGCAGCGGCGACAAGGAAAAGGAGAAACTATCAAAATCAAAGGGTAAGTTGAAGGCAGGGAAAGCCTAAAGTTTAAAACTTTGAGCCCTTGATACCCCCCACACCAATTCACAAGAAGTAGTCCCCATCTGCCTCCAAAAAAGGAAATTTTTGGAAAGGGAAGCCTATAATCTTTCAATGTCCTTTAGGCACTCCACACTTTTCGAGAGCTTCAAAGGCCTGCGGCTGCGCGTGATAGAGACATTTTTATCATGTGCAAGCCTGACGTAGAATATTTACGCTGACCAAAAATTACTTCAATCCACAAATCGGAACAATATTCTCAAAGTCACAAACTGCTTTTGAAAGGTCTTCTAAAATGGCGCTCAACGTAATTTCATTTGGGAACTCTAAGAGCCAATTGACAAACAACTGCAATTTGAGGATATCCTGATTTTGTTACTACAAAAAATATTTACGATAATGTGAAATTACTTCAATACCTGATAGCATAGAATAGGACAACGAGAAAATACTTCATCCACAAATCTTTAGAATGTTTCGATTTTTTTCTTTTTTTTTTGTAAATTCCTTTTAGACGCTCTACAGGCATGCACCTGTCCTTCATAGAAGCATTATCATGATGAGCCAGACTGATGTAGAATTTAGTATGAAAACAAAAATAATCGCTTTAATCCACAAATCGGAACCATATTCTTAATTCAGGTGGTTAGAGCTATTTTTTTAATGGCGCCCAACGTAATTTCATTTAGGAACACTATGGGCTAATTGAAAAGAAACTGTAGTTTGAGGATATCCTGATTTTATTACTAAAAAAAATATTTACGATAACGTGAAATTACTTCAATACCTGATAGCCCTTGAATAGAATAACGAGAAAATACTTCATCCACAAATCCTAATAGAGTTTCGAATTTTTGTTGATGTGAAAGCCCTTTAGACACTCGACAGGCATTCACCTGTCCTTGATAGATGCATTATCATGATGAGCCAGACAAATCGGAACCATATTCTCAATTCGGGTTGTTAGAGGTTTTTTATTAATGGCGCCCAACGTAATTTCATTTCAGAGCTCTAAGAGCCAACTGACAAACAATTGCAGTTTGAGGATATCCTGATTTTATTACTATAGAAAATATTTACGATAATGTGAAATTACTTCAATACCTGATAGCCCTTGAATAGGAAAACGAGAAAATACTTCATTCTCAAATCCTAATAGAGTTTCGAATTTTGTTGATATGAATTTCCTTTAGACAACCTCATGATGAGCCAGACTGGCGTAGAATTTAGTACGAAAACCAAATAAATCACTTTAATCCACAAATCGGAACCATATTCTCAATTCAGGTGGTTAGAGGTATTTTTTTTTTTTTTAATGGCGCCCAACGTAATTTCATTTAGAAACACTATGGGCTAATTGGAAAACAACTGCAGTTTGAGCATATCCTGATTTTATTACTACAAAAAATATTTACGATGATGTGAAATTACTTCAATACCTGATAGAATAGAATAGGACAAATCCGAACAGAGTTTCCAATTTTGTTGATGTGAATTCAATTTCGACACCCTACAGGCATGCACCTGTACTTGATAGAAGCATTATCATAATGAGCCAGACTGGCGTAGAATTTAGTATGAGAACAAAATCCACAAATCGGAACCATATTCTCAATTCAGGTGGTTAGAGGTTTTTTTTTAAATGACGGCCAACGTAATTTCATTTAGGAACACTATGGGCTAATTGAAAAACAACTGCAATTTGAGAATATTGTGATTTAATTTGAACAAAAATAATTTTCGATAATGTGAAATTACTTCAATACCTGATAGCCCTGGAATAGGATGACGAGCAAATACTTCATCCCTACAATATGTCTCCACATTACTCTTTTTTCTTTGAAAATCAGAATTAGAAATTACTTCTTCACAAGAGAAAAAAAGGTCAATCGAAAGGTAGCCTGCTAAAGTGACATTAGAAGGAATTTACAAAAATCAAAAATTACTTCAATCCGCAACTCATAATAACGATGGCGCCCAACGTGAATCATTCAATGTATGCCTTCTAACTCCATAAATATTTTTTTAATTTTCAATTCATAGGAAAAATAAGTTAGGGAAAAGTAACTTCTCCCTATTAGGTTGCCAGAGCCCCATTAAACAAATTTTCGATAACGTGAAATTACTTCAATTTACAATTAGAACCCAAGCTCCAAGTTTTTGATTTTTTTCCTTAATGTATGTCCTCATTAGGAACTGTATCAGCTGTTTTCAGATGACAAGTAGACTATGAAGACAAATTTTAAAAATATTTTCTTAATAAGCATCAGGGCTATATACATATTTTTTTTCTGAATTTTTTAAACACATTTCAAGGTTCATCAGAGCGGAAATGTTGGTTTTTTAAATATTTTTAAGAAGCATATGAGCAATAATCGTGAACCAAAAAATGAGGACCGTAATGGTGGATTTTTCAGAATATTTTTGAAGATTCATAGGGTTATAATAGTGGACTTTTAAAATATACAATCATGATTTTTTCGCATTAAAAAAAAACAGTTTTTATTAAAAAAAAGACAATGGCACAGCAGGGTCACAATCTTAGATTTTTTGAAAAATATTTTTGAAGGAGAGGTCTACTTCTAAGAATATATCTTATGAACCGTCAGGTCAATAATTGTCGGTTTTCTAAAAAATATATTTTAACAACCATTAGGTCAATTATTGCAGATTTTTAAGGAGATTTTGCAGATCTTTTAAAGGGTAACTAGGACTTCGACTTTATTTTAAAGGACAACCAGGTCTTTGAGTATGATTTTTTAAGAATACTTTTGAAGGACTACCAATGAAATAATGACGGACTTTCTTAACATTTCTTTTAAGATCATGGATTTTTTAAACAATTTTTTTTTCAAGAAACAAAAAATTATAGCCTTGGATTTTTTAATAGTTTCTTTGAGTTTTATTTTTTTTTTTACGAAGGTTCACCATTCCAAAAATTTTTCTGATCTTTTTTTCAAAATCATCAGGGTCTTAGTCATGGATTTTTGTAAACATTTTTTTTTTTTTCAAAGAACAAAATAGCTATAGTCCTCAATTTTTTACATAATTTCTGTTAAGGATAAGCGGGGTCATAATCGTAAGTTTTAATAAATAATGTGGAGGAACCCAGGGAATATATTTTGAAGCGATTCTTTAAAGAGTTTATAAAAGTTCCAAAATTGTAGATCGAATTTTTGAAGATTATTTTGTAGAACCGTTGTTATTGTTATAGCCTTTCCTACTCATCTCAATTCATCTCAATCGGGTTCTGCTTCTATGTAAGGCCTCAAGAAGAACGCACTGTACGGGTACGGGTTGTGTCCGCAACGGCACTGCAGTTAGCTGAGTAGATTTGGCTGCGCAGCGAAATATGTAGATGCGGCATGTCCTATGGGCCTGTGCCACATGCTAGGAAAATGCTCTGCACATCGCTGTCAATCGGGACCCAATACGAATTTAGGTGGTTGCGCCATCTGGATCTTAACTGAGAAGAATCGTCTAATAGTTCGGTATTGACTCTATATCCTTCCATGACTTTTGAGACCGCTTCAGAGTTGATCTAGAGGCTCTCTTTTATACGTCTGTACCCCTCTCACTAGATTATCAATGTCTTTCCATACGTGCCTGGTCGGAGGTTGTCTATCCAACATTGGAATGACTCTGTCTGTAACATCAATACGAATTTTTGTGGTTGCGCCATCCGGATCTTAACTGAGAATGAGAGAAGAATGTTCTCCTAGTACGGTATTGACTCTATATCCTTCCATGACTTTTGAGACCGCTTCAGAGTGAATACCCAGTTAATCTAGAGGCTCTCTTATACCTCTGTACCTCTCTCTCTAGATTATCAAGATCTTTCCATACGTGCCTGGGTGATTGGAATGGCTCTGTCCGTAACACCCAAGCCGGTATTGCCATGACATCAGTCTATTATGCTGTCACATGCGGTAAGAACTTCGCATCCTTATGTAGATGGTTGACAGGTGTCATTAGGCGGCACCATGCTGCGGTTCTAAGGACGGCATTCTGGCAGTATTGAATATTTTTCCACTGCGTAACACTAACGTTGGCGGACCCCACGGGAGTCGCATACTTTCCACAGACCGGCCTATCGCGTTGTAAAACATGCCCAAGTGCTACCGGCCAGAGACTTGTTCCTACTTCTGAACTTGTCGCAGATTGCTGCGGTATACGCTGACCACTTAAAGAGGCTATCGAATGGGACACCTGAGACCTTGGGATAGTTAGTGGTCGCAATTACAACACCATCGACCTGCAAATTCAAAAATAGCCTTATATTCGGCGGTCTGTTCTGGTTGAGTCCTCTGCTGACATGTGTGAAAATGTTGTGCTATGCAATTTTCGGAATCCTTGTTTATGATCAGCAACTGGAAAACACTCTCTTATGCTGGTTAGGAGTGTCTTTGCTACTGGCGACAAATGTGATATTTCGCTTTCTTCGGGCATTTTGTTTTTCAAAATCTTGAACACTTTGTGGGGGAGGTATCACAAGGAGTCTACCGATATATTCCATCTTCACTGCAGATCTTGTGTTAGTAGAAATAATGGGATGTGTGAAATATGAAGAGAACCGGATGCTTATATCGGATTTAAAAATTGATTTTGGTTATTCAAAATTTTAACCCTTTGTGGGGGAGGTACCAGAAGGGATGATCCGATCTCTATCATCTTTTTAACAGATATTGGGTTGATAGAAATATTCAGATGTACCAAGTCTGGAATGGAATCGGGTTTTATGAGCTTCATGGTTATTCAAAGTGTTGAGCCTTTGTGGGTGAGGTACCAGAAGGAGTGCGCCGATATATTCCATCTTCACACCAGATCTTGGATTAATAAAAATGTTGTGATGTGTATAATTTGAAGAAAATCGGACACTTACATCACATTTTATAAGAGCTGAAATTATTCAAAATTCTGAGCATTTGTGGGGGAGGTACCTGATGGAATGGACCGATATTGTCCATTTTCGCACCTGCTGTAAATATTAAGGTTTTCAAAATTCGAGAAAAATTGGATTTTCGCTTGTCTTTCAGTGCAGTAAAATATTTTCTTTGAAAGTTTGACCTTTTGTGAGGTAGGTAGGTGGACCGATATATTCTATGTTAGCACAGGGTGATAAAAATATTGGGATGCGTGGCATTTGAAGACAATCGGACTATTACTTCTTTTGTGGGGGAGGTACTTGATGGAGTGTACCGACATTGCCCATTTTTGCACCTGTCCTAGCACTGACGCAAATATTAGGATTTGCAGAGTTGAAGCATAATCGGATTATCCTTTCTCTTTCTGTGCAGATAATATATTTTTTGAAAATTTCGATCTTTTGTGGGGGAGGTACCAGAAGGAGTGGACCGATATGGCACATCTCCGAACTCGATCTAAGTTTGATAATAATATTACGATGTATCAAGTTTGGATCAAATCGGATACTAACTTTGAGGGCTATAGTGCGCACCTGCCAGCCACACAGACGGTCGGAAAGAAATCGTTAGATCTACTCCAAATATCCTGAAACGGATTTGGTCCAAAGAGCCTAAAACCATTATTTCGATGAGGCATGTTTTGCCTATACGGCTGGAGGTATAAAAATACCGCTCATAGGAAAGTCGTTATATAGGAGCTTTACGAAGACGTTGTCCTGCAATAGTAATTTTTTGTTATAGGCTCATTGCGAGCTTTAAATACGAAATTTAAAACAAATCCGGTGGAAAAATGTCGCTAATATAATCAAAATACCAAATAAGGGGAGGTGAGGCGTTATATGTTGGCTATATGAAGTCGTGAAGGGTATAAAAATATTTTTTAATGACCTGGGAGGCCGAGACATTTACGATGGCGTGAAATTACTTCAATACTTTAAGATCCAATATTTGTTGGCATTTTTATGAGTTCCAATTCTTTTGGAGGATTAGAGATCCCCTTTTTTCAAGTTGTCTTTAAGGAAACATTTTCAAGGATTTCTTAAAAAAAAAATAATCACACTTCAAGACAAGCATCAGGTGTAGATTTCTAAGGAAAAATCTAGGTTTTTGGCAAAAAATTTCAAAGATTTTTAAAAATATATATTTTAAGCCTTCCGTAGACAACTTTCTGAATTTTTAACAAAATTTCCCAAAAGATTAAGATAGGTGATTTTCCTTCCCTACTTTGACTTTCGAATTGTCATACCAAAAAAAGGCTCGTGGTCCATAATGTAACTATTTTCTTAAAAAAATTATTCGAAATTAAATCGCGTTTCCTAGATCCCCACATTGGGCGCCAGCTTCAAATTCCGTCTATTTATTTTTATTTATATATCGTTTTGCTTTTTTTTATTTATGCCATATATTTGTATATTCTCTTTTTACAGAGCTACTGGTTCTGGGCCTATTGATAATGGGTGCCACACAGCCAACAGATTTGCACAAGCGTTTTAGGTTAGAATCCAAAAAAAAAAATAAAAAATATAACCTCAAATAACTTCAAGAAAAAAAAATATTTTACGCACGCACGCACTTTTCCCACACCTTGAGCAACACCATTTCCTTTTTTTCTAGAATCAAAAAAAAATTCACGCACCCAAGCACTTGAAATAAATCCCCCTTGAATTAAAATATAAATAACGAAGGAAGCTTTTTTTGAGAGAATAAAAAAATAACAAAAAAATATTGAAATTTTCAGAAATTGATTTTAACAAAAAAAAGGGTTTTTCGAATAAAAATTAATATTTTTTTTTCTATTCCACAGCTCACTCCAGTCGCTCAACATCCCAACAACGCCATGAACGCAGCGCCACCACCATCACCACAACGACAACATCTAGCCACACAACAACAGCGCCATCTTCATCTAATGACCCCGACAGGCATCACAGCAGGTCTGGCAGCAAAACGAAGGCCGTGACCTCAACGGAAAATACGACGTACGTAAGCGTAACGAATTTAGCAAACGAAGAAATTTTAGAACATAACGAAGCGAGAGAAGTTATAGCCACGCACTCTTCCACGGCTGCTGCTGGCGAGAGAGAGGAAACGAGAGAAGAGAGAATTACCAACGAAGCGGCAAAAGATAATGAAAAAATACCGCCACCAAAACCTCCGCGCAAGAAACGCAAACAATCCCTAATTCCCATTGCCATACCCAGCAAACCTGAGCGTATTCCTCCCCAGCCTCCGGCTCAATCCTCCCCCTCCAATGACTCTCCCACCTATGAGTATAAACTAAAATCGAAAATAATACCACCCACCTATTCGAATCAGAGTACTTTGCGTAAAAGTTCGCTACCACGGCCAACGAGTCGCCTGGCTTTGCTAAACCGTCCACGGAAATCCTCACAAAAGTCCATACACTCGACATCCTCCTCCTTTGCCTTCCTACCCTATTTGCCGGCCAAACGTAATTCCGATGTTAGTCATGTCTATGACAATTACATGTTGTATGCCGTTCCGGCGGCCATTAATACCAAAGCCTATCAGCAGAATTTAGTCAATGATCATGCCCAGCTGTTTGGGTCGGCGGGTGGGAATCGCCATCATCATCAGCATGGATATGGTGGCAAGGCAATGAGGCGGCGAACTGTGCGTAGCACGGTTTCAACGCATCAGCCATTTGGCATTTGTACATGTTCATAGTTCTGAGGAGAGAGAGAGAACGAGAGAGAAAGGCATTCTCTCTTCTCTTCTCCCCCCAAAAGATACTCGCATAGAAACTTCTCTTTTTTTGGCACAAAATTCCTTAAACTACCTCATTGCTTCTCCCCCCTCCCCTTCACCTTAAAATACAGAAACCTCAACTAACCCCCCGAATTAGCCTTCCCTATACCACCCCCAAACTCTTCCCCGTTTTTTATGTAATCACCTCCATCACACCAGCACCTTTTGTGTTTTTAACGAAAATTTCCCATTCGAACGAAACGGAATTCAAAATTCAACATTTCGACCTGGAAGAAAAACCCTCAAAAAATCTGCACAACTTCCTACTCATCTCTCTTGCACACATGCACACACACACTGAAATTTTGCAACTCGTTACCTATTTTTTTTGGATACATTTTTACTTTTTCACAGTGTAAGAAAATGGAAAATTTTTTTATTATATTTTTTTCGTAGATTCTCTTCTTCTTCTTAGAGTAGCTTGTAGTGTAGTTTCTCTCATTCTTATTTTAGTTGTGATTTTCTAACTAAAGTTTTAAGGTTCTACATAATTAACCTTCATACCTTTCTTTCGTAGATTTCAAGCTAACCTAACAAAAAAAAAACATTTTCTTCTTTTTCATTTTCATTGGAAAAAATAACAAAAATTAACAAAAAATTCGTTATTTAGGTCATTAATGCCACAGGCCAACGTTGGGCGCCATTTATCAAATTTGGCAAAAAGTCAAAAAAAAAACACTGCAAAATTTATAAAACTGTGACAGGTAGTATTAAAAATTATATATATATATCTAGCTCATAACTCAAATGATTCTATCCAAATTTTCCTGAATTTGTTTTTGAGTTCCACGTTGGGCGCCATTTTTAATTTATTCATACCCTAAACTTGCTTTTAATTTTCGAACAGAGATAAGTGGTGTGAAAATTGATTTCAAAAATGGCAAATATGTTCTACGTACAGCATTTGAAACAAATTCTTCTTTGAAGCCAATACATTGAGTTCCAACGTTGGGCGCCACTTCTGATAATTTTAACAAGATTTGTAATTAAATCCAACAACCACATTGATTTCCAATTCTTATGGTTCAGCTATTATAAAACTACCAAATTTCACGTTTATTTTAACAGATTGTTTCAATGGACCCTCCATTGGGCGCCATTCCATAATACTAAACATACATATTGGGGGCCATTAATTTAAAAGCAAAAATAGCATCTACGAATATGTAAATTGACAATTTTTAAAATATTTGAAGATTTTTGGGTGGTTATACAGAAATACCATCCGATGACCCCACGTTGGGCGCCATTTATTTAAGGAAATTTTCAAAATTCAATAATCACAATAATTTTCAATGCTCAGCGTTCAGGTATTATTCTGAATATGAATATGTGAAAATTCCATTCGTCGACCCACGTTGGGCGCCATTTTTTAAGGGAAATTTTTAAAATTCAGCAATCCCATTAATTTGCAATTCTCAGCGTTTAATAGACATCGCGTGTTGAGCACAAAAAAAAATAAAATATTTATTTTCAATTTTACGGGTTCATAAGAACTGTTGAGATTTCAATGGATTGGGCGCCATTTATTAAAAAAATAATTTTTAATGATTCGATGGTAGATTTTTTGGTGAATATGAAGTCAGTTTTATCCGTTCAACCAACATTGGGCGCTATTATTTAAAAAAAAACATTTTGAACTTCTTTTGGGATCTCTGAAAAATTATTTCCAAAATTCACGTTTGAAAGCCTTCGTGGACTTCTGGAAAGCCCTTTGAACATTTCTTTGAAAACTAAAAAAAATCCAAATTTAAAAGCCTTTGTCGATCACTGAAAAACTCTTTAAAAATCCACGTTTGAAAGCCTTTGGGGATCTTTGAAAAATTCTTTAAAAAATCACGTTTGAAGGGTCCCTAAAAAATCCAAGTTAAATGCGTCGAAAAATTATTAAAAAAAATTTTCCTTGGGAATCCCTGAAAAACTCATTAAAACTCCACGTGTCAAAGCCTTTGGGGATCTCAAAAAAAATCAATTTTACGGGTTTATAAGAACTGTCGGGGTTTCGGTTAATATTTGGGAGTTCCTTCACTTGACCCCGCAATGTGCGCCATTGAAAAAAAAAAAAAACTTTTGAAAGATTTTATTGATAAAGAAAATTACATCCATTCAAACAACGTTGGGCGCCATTGGTTTAGAGAACATTTTGAACTTCTCTTGGGATATCTGAAAAATTATTGAAAAATCCACCTTTGAAAGACTTCGGTTTTCTCTGGAAAACTCCTTTAAAATCGTATTTAAAGCCTTTCAATATTTCTTTAAAAATGAAAAATCTAAACTTAAAAGCCTTTGGGGATCACTGAAAAACTCTTTAAAAATCCAAGTTTAAAGGGCTCTGGGGATCTCAAAAAAATTATTTAAGAAAAAATCACGTTTGGAGACCTTCGGTATCCCTAAAATATTTTAAAAACTCCTCGTTGTTAGGCCTCCGGAAATCTCTGAAAAAAAATTTAAAAAATCCACGTTTGAAGGTTTTTTGGGAAACTTTGAAAAAAAAAAAATTAAAAAACCACGTTTGAAGGCCTTTGGGTGTCTCTGATTTTTTTTTAAATCCATATTTAAAAGCCTTTGGAAATCACTACAAATAATATTTTAAAAAACCTAGTTCTTTGGCCTTTGGGATCTCTAAAAAAAATCTTAAAAAAATCCACGTTTAAAAGCCTTTGGGAATATCTGAACATTTCTTTTAAACCCCCCTCTTTTAAAATCCACGTTTGAAGGGCTTTGGGGATCTGTAAAAAATTCTTTGAACAAATAACTTGAGATCCCTAAAAAGTACTTTAAAAAATCCAAGTTTAAAGGCCTTTGGGGACCTCGAAAAACTATTAAAAATATGCCTGGGAATTCCTGAAAATCTATTAAGAACTCCACGTTTGAATGCTTTTGGAGATCTCTATAATTAAAAAAATCTTCTTTAAATCCATTTGGGGATCTCTAAAAATACTTTAAAAGATCAAAGTTTAAAGGCCTTTGGGAATCAATGAAAAAATTCTTTAAAAAATTCACGTTTCTGGGCCTTTGGGAAAATCGTCAAAAAATCCACGTTTCTGGGCCTTTGGGAAAATTATTAAAAAATCCACGTTTGAAGGCCTTTGGAAATCTATGAAAAATTCTATAAAAATCTACGTTTCTAGGTCTTTGGGGAATTCTGAAAAATTCTATAAAAATCTACGTTTCTAGGTCTTTGGGGAATTCTGAAAAATTCTATAAAAATCTACGTTTCTAGGTCTTTGGGGAATTCTGAAAAATTCTATAAAAATCTACGTTTCTAGGTCTTTGGGGAATTCTGAAAAATTCTATAAAAATCTACGTTTCTAGGTCTTTGGGGAATTCTGAAAAATTCTATAAAAATCTACGTTTCTAGGTCTTTGGGGAATTCTGAAAAATTCTATAAAAATCTACGTTTCTAGGTCTTTGGGGAATTCTGAAAAATTCTATAAAAATCTACGTTTCTAGGTCTTTGGGGAATTCTGAAAAATTCTATAAAAATCTACGTTTCTAGGTCTTTGGGGAATTCTGAAAAATTCTTTAAAAAATCCACGTTTCTTGGCCTTTGGGAATCACTGAAAAATTCCTTAAAAAATCCCCGTTTGAAGGCCATCTCTAAAAAATTCTTTAAAAAATCCACGTTTGAAGGCCATCTCTAAAAATTTCTTTAAAAAATCCACGTTTTATGCCTTCGAAAATATCTGAAAATTTCTTTAAAAAATCCACGTTTTATGCCTTCGAAAATATCTGAAAATTTCTTTAAAAAATCCACGTTTTATGCCTTCGAAAATATCTGAAAATTTCTTTAAAAAATCCACGTTTTATGCCTTCGAAAATATCTGAAAATTTCTTTAAAAAATCCACGTTTTATGCCTTCGAAAATATCTGAAAATTTCTTTAAAAAATCCACGTTTTATGCCTTCGAAAATATCTGAAAATTTCTTTAAAAAATCCACGTTTTATGCCTTCGAAAATATCTGAAAATGTCTTTAAAAAATCCACGTTTTATGCCTTCGAAAATATCTGAAAATTTCTTTAAAAAATCCACGTTTTATGCCTTCGAAAATATCTGAAAATTTCTTTAAAAAATCCACGTTTTATGCCTTCGAAAATATCTGAAAATGTCTTTAAAAAATCCACGTTTTATGCCTTCGAAAATATCTGAAAATTTCTTTAAAAAATCCACGTTTTATGCCTTCGAAAATATCTGAAAATTTCTTTAAAAAATCCACGTTTTATGCCTTCGAAAATATCTGAAATTTTCTTTAAAAAATCCACGTTTTATGCCTTCGAAAATATCTGAAAATTTCTTTAAAAAATCCACGTTTTATGCCTTCGAAAATATCTGAAAATTTCTTTAAAAAATCCACGTTTTATGCCTTCGAAAATATCTGAAAATTTCTTTAAAAAATCCACGTTTTATGCCTTCGAAAATATCTGAAAATTTCTTTAAAAAATCCACGTTTAAAGGCCTTTGGAGATCTCAGAAAAATTCTTTAAAAAATCCACGTTTAAAGGCCTTTGGAGATCTCAGAAAAATTCTTTAAAAAATCCACGTTTAAAGGCCTTTGGAGATCTCAGAAAAATTCTTTAAAAAATCCACGTTTAAAGGCCTTTGGAGATCTCTGAAAAATTCTTTAAAAAATCCACGTTTAAAGGCCTTTGGAGATCTCAGAAAAATTCTTTAAAAAATCCACGTTTAAAGGCCTTTGGAGATCTCAGAAAAATTCTTTAAAAAATCCACGTTTAAAGGCCTTTTGGAGATCTCAGAAAAATTCTTTAAAAAATCCACGTTTTATGCCTTCGAAAATATCTGAAAATTTCTTTAAAAAATCCACGTTTAAAGGCCTTTGGAGATCTCAGAAAAATTCTTTAAAAAATCCACGTTTTATGCCTTCGAAAATATCTGAAAATTTCTTTAAAAAATCCACGTTTAAAGGCCTTTGGAGATCTCAGAAAAATTCTTTAAAAAATCCACGTTTAAAGGCCTTTGGAGATCTCAGAAAAATTCTTTAAAAAATCCACGTTTAAAGGCCTTTGGAGATCTCAGAAAAATTCTTTAAAAAATCCACGTTTAAAAATCAATGGAGGATCTCCCAAAAAATTAAAAAAAAATCTCGTTTAAAGAATCTCTGAAAAATTCTTAAAACAAAAACTGAACTGATCTAAAAAAAATTAAATCTACATTTGAAGGCCCTTTCGGTCTATACAAAAAAAGTTTAAAGACTTTGGTGGACCTATAAAAAAATCTTTAAAAAATCCACATTTTAAAGCTTTTTGAGGATCTTTAAAAAAATATAAAAATCCCTTTGCGTTCTCATGGAGGACTCAAAGATCTTTTTATAAAGAAATGTTTTTAAATAAAATCTAGAATTATTTTGAAAGTCTTACACATTTGCCAGCACGAATTTCTTAAGCTCTCTTTAGTGGGAAGTGCCCCACGTTGGGCGCCATTTCAACCATTAACACCATATTCATACAATTAACGACTAAATATTATCAATTAAAATAAAACTAACATTTCCTAATGGACTATGAACATGTAGCTTATTGTATTAGCACATACATATATGTATCTATATATGTATATGCCTACCTTTACCTCGAACTTCCATTGTATCTACGTTGATTCCTCTCATCTCTCCTGTATCTAGAAATGTATTTTCTCCAAAATATCTACTCTCCTCGTCATGCTCCTACTGTAGTCGACAATAACATTTGTGGTTTCATCGATATCTTCCAAAAAAAAAACCAACAACAACAACACTTTTCTCTCAGTAGTTACGACTCTAGAGTTTTAAAAATAACCGAATTTTGAAATTGATTGATTTAATTATTTTTTTAATTTTTTTTTTCGATTTTTCCAGCCAGAGTAAAAATTCCCAACAACGTCAACAGCAACAGCAGCAGCAACATCATCATCATCGCCCAAACCATTCCTCCTCCGCCTCATCATCCAAAGAACGTTCCAGAGAACATGCAAAAGACCCCACCTTAGTATCCGAACGAAAGCAAAAATCTGCAAAGACTCCTACGGAGGTCATAACCAAGACCCATGAACATGTCTATGGTCTGAAATCGGCCATAATAAAGACCACAACGAAACTACGTGAAAAATCTCGAGCTCGCAAGGAAAAGAAATGAACAACGAAAAATTAACCAATTCCTAAAACCACTGGAAATCGACATGCCCGCAAACAGGGACCCGCTCTACTCCCTGTTATCTGCCACCCTAATATACATTCAAATGCTAATCCATGACTTATTTTATAAAAATAAATAATATTTTTTTTTTAATTAAATACTAATTTTACTCACTCGCACTTATTGACTTAACCTAGAAATATTTGAATTATTATTATTACGTTTTTAATTTCGACAACAACATAAACAAAGTATTAATTAATTAAACAATTATTTCTTGTATTATTTTTTTTTGTATTATTATTAACCTCTACATGATACTCATATTTTATGAATTTTATTTCGATGCCTAGAATTTTAAGATTTTGTTTTTTTTTTTGTGTATTTTTATGTGTTTTCAAATGTCAAGCAAAACATCCGATTTTGCCTTAAAGTACTTTTTGTGTTTAAGAGAGTGTGTTATGGTTTAGAAATGTTTTTTTGTAAAACAAAAATAAGAAAGAAATTTTGAAGAAAAAAAAATCAAATCAAAGCAAAAACAAGAGTTTTTGCTTTTTAGCACTTTAAGTTTTGTGGAGAATCTCCCCAAATCTCACCCACTTAAATTATTTAATAAAATATTAATAAATTTTTTGAAAAAATAAAAACAGAGATTTTTTATTTAAAAAAAAGCTATTAAATCAAAAAATAAAACTTTTAAATAATTTCTTAAAAAATTCATGTTTGTGAATCTCTGGAAAATCATAAAAAAATCCGCCTTTTAAGATCTTTGGGAAACTCTGAAAAATTCTTTAAAAATCCATGTTTAAAGGCCTTTGGCGATCTCTGGAAAAATTCTTTAAAAAATTCACGTTTAAGGGCCTTTGGGAATCTCTGAAAATTTCTTTAAAAAATCCACGTTTCTAGGCCTTTGGGAATCTCTGAAAATTTCTTTAAAAAATCCACGTTTCTAAGCCTTTGGGAATCGCTGAAAAATTCCTTAAAAAATTCACATTTGAAGGTCTTTGGGGATCACTGAAAAATTCTTTAAAAAATCCACGTTTCTAAGCCTTTGGGAATCACTGAAAAATTCTTTAAAATATCCACGTTTCTAGGCCTTTGGGAAACTCTAAAAAATTCTTTAAAAAATCCATGTTTCTAGTCCTTTGGGAAACTCTAAAAAATTCTTCAAAAATCCACGTTTGAAAGCCATTGGGAATCACTGAAAAATTCTTTAAAAAATCCATGTTTCCATGCCTTTGGGAATCACTGAAAAATTCTTTAAAAAATCCACGTTTCTAGGCCTTTGGAAAACTCTGAAAAAAATCCACGTTTAAAGGCTTTTGGGAAATTTTGAACAATTCTTTAAAAAATCCACGTTTAAAGGTCTTTGGAGATCTCTGAAAAATTCTTTAAAAATCCACGTTTAAAGGTCTTTGGAAATATCTGTAAAATTCTTTAAAAAACCCACGTTTAAAGGTCTTTGGAGATCTCTGAAAAATTCTTTAAAAAACCCACGTTTAAAGGTCTTTGGAGATCTCTGAAAAATTCTTTACAAATTCCACGTTTCTAGGCCTTTGGAGATCTCTGAAAAATTCCTCAAAACAACCACGTTTTAAGAACTTTGGGAAACTCAGAAAAAATCTTTAAAAAATCCACGTTTAAGGGGCTTTGGGAATTTTTGAAAAATTCTTTAAAAATCCACGTTTAAGGGGCTTTGGGAGTTTTTGAAAAATTCTTTAAAAAATCCACGTTTCTAGGCCTTTGGGAATCTGTGAAAAAATCTTTAAAAAAATCCACGTTTAAGGGGCTTTGGGTATTTTATAAAAATTCTTTAAAAATCCACGTTTAAGGGGCTTTGGGAATTTTTGAAAAATTCTTTAAAAATCCACGTTTAAAGGGCTTTGGGAGTTTTTGAAAAATTCTTTAAAAAATCCACGTTTAAAGGGCTTTGGGAATTTTTGAAAAATTCTTTAAAAAATCCACGTTTAAAGGGCTTTGGGAATTTTTGAAAAATTCTTTAAAAAATCCACGTTTAAAGGGCTTTGGGAATCTCTGAAAAATTCTTTAAAAAATCCACGTTTCTAGGCCTTTGGGAATCTCTGAAAAATTCTTTAAAAAATCCACGTTTCTAGGCCTTTGGGAATCATTAAAAAAAAATCTTCAAAAATCCTCGTTTGAAGGCTTTGGAGATCACTGAAAAATTATTTAAAAAATTGTTAGAAATTCCACGTTTCTAAGCCTTTGGGAATCACTAAAAATGCTTTAAAAAATCCACGTTTAAAGGGCTTTGGGAATTTTTGAAAAATTCTTTAAAAAATCCACGTTTAAAGGGCTTTGGGAATTTTTGAAAAATTCTTTAAAAAATCCACGTTTAAAGGGCTTTGGGAATTTTTCAAAAATTCTTTAAAAAATCCACGTTTCTAGGCCTTTGGAGATCACTGAAAAATTCTTTAAAAAATCCACGTTTAAAGGGCTTTGGGAATTTTTCAAAAATTCTTTAAAAAATCCACATTTCTAGGCCTTTGGAGATCACTGAAAAATTCTTTAAAAAATCCACGTTTAAAGGGCTTTGGGAATTTTTCAAAAATTCTTTAAAAAATCCACGTTTCTAGGCCTTTGGAGATCACTGAAAAATTCCTTAAAAAATCCACGTTTAAAGGCCTTTGGGTATCTGAGAAAAACTCTTTAAAAAATTCACGTTTAAAGACCTTTGGATATCTCTGAAAAATTCTTTAAAAAATCCACGTTTTAAGGTCTTTGGATATCTCTGAAAAATTCTTTAAAAAATCCACGTTTGTAGGCTTTAGGGAATCTCTGAAAAATTCTTTAAAAAATCCACGTTTGTAGGCCTTTGGGAATCTCTGAAAAATTCTTTAAAAAATCCACGTTTGTAGGTCTTTGGGAAAAATGAAAAATTCTTTAAAAAATCCACGTTTCTATGCCTTTGGGAATCACTGAAAAATTCTTTAAAAAATCCACGTTTCTATGCCTTTGGGAATCACTGAAAAATTCTTTAAGAAATTCACGTTTGAAGACCTTTGGAAAACTCTGAAAAATTCTATAAAAAATTCACGTTTAAAGGCCTTTGGGAAATTTTGAAAAATTGTTTAAAAAATCCACGTTTAAAGGGCTTTGGGAATTTTTGAAAAATTCTTTAAAAAATCCACGTTTAAAGGCTTTTGGGAAATTTCGAACAATTCTTTAAAAAATCCACGTTTCTAGGTCTTTGGGAAACTCTGAAAAATTCTTTAAAAAATCCACGTTTCTAGGCCTTTGGGAATCACTGAAAAATTCTTTAAAAAAAAATCACGTTTCTAGGTCTTTGGGAAACTCTGAAAAATTCTTTAAAAAATCCACGTTTAAAGGCTTTTGGGAAATTTCGAACAATTCTTTAAAAAATCCACGTTTAAAGGCCTTTGGGAAATTTTGAACAATTCTTTAAAAAATCCACGTTTAAAGGTCTTTGGAGATCTCTGAAAAATTCTTTAAAAATCCACGTTTAAAGGTCTTTGGAAATATCTGTAAAATTCTTTAAAAAACCCACGTTTAAAGGTCTTTGGAGATCTCTGAAAAATTCTTTAAAAAACCCACGATTAAAGGTCTTTGGAGATCTCTGAAAAATTCTTTACAAATTCCACGTTTCTAGGCCTTTGGAGATCTCTGAAAAATTCCTCAAAACAACCACGTTTTAAGAACTTTGGGAAACTCAGAAAAAATCTTTAAAAAATCCACGTTTCTAGGTCTTTGGGAAACTCTGAAAAATTCTTTAAAAAATCCACGTTTAAAGGCTTTTGGGAAATTTCGAACAATTCTTTAAAAAATCCACGTTTAAAGGCCTTTGGGAAATTTTGAACAATTCTTTAAAAAATCCACGTTTAAAGGTCTTTGGAGATCTCTGAAAAATTCTTTAAAAATCCACGTTTAAAGGTCTTTGGAAATATCTGTAAAATTCTTTAAAAAACCCACGTTTAAAGGTCTTTGGAGATCTCTGAAAAATTCTTTAAAAAACCCACGATTAAAGGTCTTTGGAGATCTCTGAAAAATTCTTTACAAATTCCACGTTTCTAGGCCTTTGGAGATCTCTGAAAAATTCCTCAAAACAACCACGTTTTAAGAACTTTGGGAAACTCAGAAAAAATCTTTGAAAAATCCACGTTTCTAGGCCTTTGGGAATCTGTGAAAAATTCTTTAAAAAATCCACGTTTCTAGGCCTTTGGGAATCTGTGAAAAATTCTTTGAAAAATCCACGTTTCTAGGCCTTTGGGAATCTGTGAAAAATTCTTTAAAAAATCCACGTTTCTAGGCCTTTGGGAATCTGTGAAAAATTCTTTGAAAAATCCACGTTTCTAGGCCTTTGGGAATCTGTGAAAAATTCTTTAAAAAATCCACGTTTCTAGGCCTTTGGGAATCTGTGAAAAATTCTTTAAAAAATCCACGTTTCTAGGCCTTTGGGAATCTGTGAAAAATTCTTTGAAAAATCCACGTTTGAAGGTCTTTTAGGATCTGTGAAAAATTCTTTAAAAAAATCCACGTTTGAAGGTCTTTTAGGATCTGTGAAAAATTCTTTAAAAAATCCACGTTTGAATGTCTTTTAGGGTCTGTGAAAAATTCTTTAAAAAATCCACGTTTGAAGGTCTTTTAGGATCTGTGAAAAATTCTTTAAAAAAACCACGTTTGAAGGTCTTTTAGGATCTGTGAAAAATTCTTTAAAAAATCCACGTTTGAAGGTCTTTTAGGATCTGTGAAAAATTCTTTAAAAAAACCACGTTTGAAGGTCTTTTAGGATCTATGAAAAATTCTTTAAAAAATCCACGTTTGAAGGTCTTTTAGGATCTGTGAAAAATTCTTTAAAAAAACCACGTTTGAAGGTCTTTTAGGATCTGTGAAAAATTCTTTAAAAAATCCACGTTTGAAGGTCTTTTAGGATCTGTGAAAAATTCTTTAAAAAATCCACGTTTGAAGGTATTTTAGGATCTGTGAAAAATTCTTTAAAAAATCCACGTTTCTAGGCCTTTAGGAATAACTGAAAAATTCTTTAAAAAATCTACGTTTAAAGGTCTTTTAGGATCTGTTAAAAATTCTTTAAAAAATCCACGTTTCTAGGCCTTTGGAGATCACTGAAAAATTCTTTAAAAAATCCACGTTTCTAGGCCTTTGGAGATCACTGAAAAATTCTTTAAAAAATCCACGTTTCTAGGCCTTTGGAGATCACTGAAAAATTCTTTAAAAAATCCACGTTTCTAGGCCTTTGGAGATCACTGAAAAATTCTTTAAAAAATCCACGTTTCTAGGCCTTTGGAGATCACTGAAAAATTCTTTAAAAAATCCACGTTTCTAGGCCTTTGGAGATCACTGAAAAATTCTTTAAAAAATCCACGTTTAAAGGGCTTTGGGAATTTTTCAAAAATTCTTTAAAAAATCCACGTTTCTAGGCCTTTGGAGATCACTGAAAAATTCTTTAAAAAATCCACGTTTAAAGGGCTTTGGGAATTTTTCAAAAATTCATTAAAAAATCCACGTTTCTAGGCCTTTGGAGATCACTGAAAAATTCTTTAAAAAATCCACGTTTAAAGGGCTTTGGGAATTTTTGAAAAATCCTTTAAACAATCCACGTTTGAAGGTCTTTTAGGATCTGTGAAAAATTCTTTAAAAAATCCACATTTAA